CTGAAAGAGAAGCGAACTTGTTTGGAGGAAATTATTTTGCAGAGCTTGAGGACTCAAATTTTAATTGAATGCAAATGGTGCTCTCAGTATGCAAGGCACCATCATTTGAACAAGCTTGAAAGAGATAAAAAGAAGTCTCTCTGTTCAGGAAATAGCACATTAAGAAGTTGTGTATAGCCTAGTTATGTCAGTAAGCCAGTATTATGTGTATGTTAGTAGATCACCTCAGTAGATGAAATGTATTATAATCAGGATGTTTATCATGCATAATTACTGAACAGAAGCAGTATTATATGGTGCTGACAAGCATGGATCTGTATTTCCAGATTTATGTTCTTTTAGCTTCTTAAGTGGAGCTTGTTATGTGGTAAAGTAGCACAAGCAGATGGACTGCCCTCCAGAGTACAATAGAACAATGTAGGATTTTATAGGGGAGAAAATTTCCTTTAGCAAAAGCAAAGAAATACAAGCGACTAGAGAGACCATTTCTACAACTGACCAGAAGTACTGGTCACATGAAAATCCATTTGATGTATTTCAAACCTGACAAGCAGGACACTTATGAAAAGGGACAGAGAAATAAAAAGAGAAATTTTTCTCAGTAGATATGTGTAACTTTGGCCTGATTTGATTATCTTTCTCATGTTTTATTTTTTATACCATGCAGACAAGAACAATGCTGTTTGATTGCATGAGGATTAAATGCAGTAAGGATTAAATAGTAAGTTTACATGATTATTATTTTCCTGATTTTATGAATGATGAAAAAATACCAGAGTCTGAGTTGCCCAATAATAACCTGGTAGAGAGTAATTAATGAGTCAGTTCTCTGACACCAGATGTAAACCACTCCAAAATTAGTGTCTTAAAGGAAGAATAATTGATTATTTTTCATGACTTTCTTGAGTCCACTGGTTGGACTCAAGACCAGTGGACACCAGCAGCTGCATTTCCCTGTTGGGTCAAGTGAGTGTGAGGGTAAAACTGGAGGAGCTGAGATGAAGCCTTTTCTTCTCAATATCTATGTCTGTGGCAGCCTCACAACTGCATGGATGAAATAAACACCCAGCATGGAAAGACCCACTATGTGCCCATTTTCCACATTTGCTAGTGTCACGCTCACTAGAGTAGGTCACAGGGCTCTGCACGTAGTCAGCATAAGAGGCCACTTCTCATGAGCTTCCACCCAGTGAGCTTGTTTATTGAAAGGAATAATAGTGATCTACAACTATGTATGTGACAAACCCTTCAGTTTTTAACACATGCCCCTTTAACTTGCCAACTTGAAGGATGTGTGTGAAGTACAGAAAGGTCACATATAGATTGTCAGGATGAAGAACTCTGGTATTTCAGTGTTTGCGTGTGTGCGCTGGGACACTCATGAGCACTCACAGGAAAGAGCACTGCTGAGACTTCTTGAAACTACCTGGAAACGACAGTCATCCACACTTGAGCAGAAAAGATCCAGATAAATAATATCATAGAAGTCTGTAGGGGAACTTATAATAGGGGTAATAAAAAATTGAAAAGTAAGAATTTAATCAGAAAACAGATAATGAGGAAACTGATACTTGCCTGCCGCAGCCTGCTAAGCCAATGCTTACTAATGGGTATTTGATGACATGAGTGTGTAAGGCCACAGAAATTAACTCTTGAATTGGATATAACATGAAGTAATGTGCACATACACTTGTGATTATTTGTGCACAACTGTCTTGAGAATATTCACTTTCGTGTCATACACATTCATTTGTACTGCGTTTCCTTCAAGTTTTGAGTTCTTCCTCTCCAAAAATGCAATTCATAATTCTTCAGGCATCAATTTTTCTACTCCTAGAATCGGAGAGGCTGTGCAGTAATCTCTCCTAGTTCTAGGCACTAAGTAGGCACTGGATATACCCAGGTATTGATCCTCTAGTCTTTTGTGCATTTCTATAGAAAAAAGTAGCAGAAACACCAGCTCTACCTGCTCCTGTCCCTCCACACCCTGCCCCTCTTTGCCTCCTCCTTCTCCTCTCTTCTTCCTCCTCTTCCTCCTCTTCCTCTTGATTCTTCTTTATTTATGTTGTGTTTCTTGTTCTCCCTTCAAATTTCTACTATCCAGCCAAGTACAGTCCAAGCAGGTATTGGATAAATATTTGTGCATTGAATAAATATCCTTAGAGCATTTGTGGTAATTACATTAATTAAACACCTTATCCATTTAACTTGAAAACTTATAATTACATGGGTAGCATAAATATACCATATGAGAACTACATATAATTTTGAAATACATATGTTTTATAAAATATCTTTATATTATGCCTCCTTAATGCCAAAGAAGCACTCTCTCAGGCTATTGCTTAGCAGGTATCTCTTACTAGATAATATTTCCAAATAGATTAATGTCTCACTGTCTTTATTCATAAGTCCACCCATTGATATTCAGATATTAAACTTTTTCAAGTACTGATGACAGACTATTAGGCAGTGGGACTGATATTTTATGCATCAATATTTCTGCTGCACATCTATTTAAGTTACATTCATGGGTCTCTTTTGATACTGAGTCACAGTTTTCTTTCATGGATTCCTATCAGATCATTAGCTTGCACATAACTTAGCCAGTTGATGGGAGGATAAAGGCAAATATTTAAATTCAAGCTGATTTGCATATGTATGTGTGTGCATATTGTTTTTCTCTCTATCCCTCTATCCTTCCACCTCTCCTTGTTTCCCTGTGTCGCTCTCTCACTTTTCTGTCCTATCAGTTTCTTTCCTCTTAATTTTCTTTCCTCTTAGTTTCTTTCTCTTAATTTTTATATCTTTGATATACCATATTTTAAATATTTATTGGCTGACAATATTTCTAAGAAGGTTTAGTCATAAAACTGTTTTTTTATTCTCTGTATTTGTTCCAATCATGTACAAGTTTTAAAAGTGTGTATATCCAGGGACATAGGTCAGCAACAAAGCACCTGCCTGGCAAGCACAAGGTTGTAAGTTTGATTTCTGGTACCAAAACTAAATAAATAAATACAAGTGTGTATGTGTCAAATCCAGTAACAATTTGGAAGTGATTAAACATGTTTCTTCCAAAGCTGTAGCCTTCTTATTTTGTGTTTGTATAGCTAATTGTCATAAACCTTAAATTAATGCAATGTCATTATTATGTATTATTTTACCATTTATTTGTACTTCTGTAGGTCTAATAATTTGTACCATTTTTGCATTTTTCTACCCATATACAAAATGTACACATGTTTAGTTATGCATCTCTACCATGTTGACATATAGTAAACTGTTTACCTTCTTAAACAATTTGCATTCCAAAATGTTTTTGAATGTTACAGCATGAATAAACTAGACACAAGTTAAGTAAACAAAAACACTCACAGAAGACCACAGGTTACATTATTGCATTTTGTTATGGTTTAGAATTGTAATTAAAAGTCTCAAGTACAAAGCAGGGTAGTTTGAAAGGTGACTGGACCACGGGTGCTATGCTTGTCAATGTGTGAGTCCATGGAAAAGTTATTGCAGAATGTATGTTTAGGAGCTGGGATTGTTGGGCAGGCTTCTCTTTGTACCACATTAAGGCTACTGGGGAGTAAGACAGTAGCCACTGATGGTTTTTAAGACACACCCTGGAGACAGGGCTTTCCTCGCTAAGCGAGGCCTGACTCAGGTCAAATAAAATGAAGACTATGACTGTGGCTCTTTTAGGAATATTGCAGGCAAGCTAAGCAGGGATGATTCTTTGACCAAACTTTTGTTAAGGAACTCCAAACTCATCTTCTCTAACCCATGACTCATCCCGATCTTCTTGATTACACTGGTTCCAAAACTGCTAGGTATGAAGGCTTTCGTGATGGTAGCTAGGCAGGAATATGAACAGGACATATTAATATGCCTACCTAGATTTCCCTTTAAAAAGACTCTTCAAATTGCTTTAAGCTTCGGTTATAGAGTTCTGAAACATTGGATTTTGTCCAATTTTTGCTTGAGGTTCCGCTTCTGTTTTTGCAGGCTCAGTGGAAGAGGAAAGTTGCAAAGGTCTTCAATGTGAAGTTCTGGAAGTCCCCATCCCCAGAATTCTGTGGTTTTTTGGGAACTTTTATTCTACTTTTATTCTCTGTGTTTTATTTAGATGTTATTTCCCTTAAGAAAATGACTCATTTTTTGCAAGTTTCTTTCTGATTTACACACGCTAATCTGTTGCTTTTTACATTACATTGATAGTATACAACTTCTTCAGTTGATAATATCTCTTTCTTTTGATAGTTGTTATTTTGCTTTTACACACACACATACACAGACACACACCTCTATTTAAACATCTTTTCTCTGAGGTCAATGTGTCTGTGAAGAATGAAAATTATACATGTTTTTGTCTATCATCTTGACTTAGACCCTGTATTTACTACTTATTGCCGATTTACAAGACACACAGACATTAATCACAAGCATGTTGATAACATTTCATGAACATCTATGTTAAAATGTTTTATTTTTGTTAAAAAATTCAAAAGAGCCTCATTATTCATAAATACACCTTTACCAAAAATTACTGATGTTATTATTTTCTAGTTTGAGAAAATTTAAGCACTGAAAGAACAACTAATAGATAAATATTAAAAATAGAAATTCTTGACTTTGAAGGAGTTTATGAGACTGTATGACAAGAAAATTTGGAGATAATATCGCTAGCAGGAACCCTAGTATAGATTTGGCATGTTTAATTGACCTTCATGAATACATAAGATATATAAATGAAATTCCTTCAGTATTTAAGTCCGTTTAAAATAAAGTGTATACATACTCATTCACAAAAAAAAATGCTACCATCTAAAGAAAAGCCACAGATGGCCAAATAATTTTAAAGAAATCTACTGAGGTGCTTTAAGCGGACAGGGAAATGCATATGAAAAAAACTGAGTCATAAATATAATGTTTCTGTTGGATTAAAAATGACAGTTATTCTCACAAACATTCCACAAGTTTCAGTTACAAGTACAGCACACTCCCACCACATGCTTTTGTGCCTATCTTTTTCATTCCTGTCACTTCTGAGGACTGTATTACATTCCAAAGTAAAAGAGTAAGTGAAAAGATTACTGGGGTTGGAACTAATGCTATTATTTTGACCTACTTACATGGAGTACAGACAAGGACCTTTGAATTCAGAGGACTACACAGTACTAGGGTTCTGCATCATGCGAGGAAATTGCCTCATTACTGAATCTTATTTGGAGAGTGCTTCAGTAGTGGGTGTGAAGCACCATTTAGTTTAAGAAGCACTCTTTTTGCAGGGACAAATAATTGGCAACTGTACCGTGTGTGGTAAGTAAAGTGTGAGTCTACACATTTATAAACTTTGTCTTTACATCTGGGAACTGGACGAAATAGAGGACACGCCCCACCTTTATCCTTACAATGCACTGAGGCCAAGTTGAACATTATAGATGATTCCTGCTTATTGTTCATATTGTCCTAACTATGTGAGGTGACTATTACTCTTCAATCTTCAGCTTTCACTGTAGTAGCATTCATGTTCTCAGTGCTACCTTCCTTTTCATGTTCACAAAGATACATCCTTCTGACAACAGTTCTCTACCCATAGGACCCTTAACCCAACCAGATTTTTAGAAAACATATACTATTCACCTTCGTAGTCATTAAGTGAACAGAAGAAACAAGGCTCACCACAATTAAATCCAAACATCATACATCCCAAAACACTGAGTTAGTTACAAGTATTCATTTACCAACAAACAATAAGTCCGCCCTCATCTAGGAGAATAGTGAAGTGATTAAAAGGAGAAAATATCCCTTGGGTTAGAGAAAAAAATCCCTGGAACATGGCCTAAGACTTTTGTAAGGATAAAGATGGGGCATTTCCTACGGTAAAGGGATTTCTTGATGGTCATATGGAATAAAATAATCTGCTGGCAAACAAATTTGCTAAACACAACCATTAAAAAATTTAGCAAATACTTTGTACTTTCTCTTCAATGCATAGCATGGTAGAAACTGAAATGAATTGACCCCAACGTGCAGTTGTATATGAAACCCCAGGGATGATGCTGGCATGTGGTGGAGATATGAGTGCCGCAAACAGCAAATCCAACATGGACTGCTCTGGGAATTAAGAATTCAGTGCAATCTTTTAAAATACGCTTTTGAATAATGTCTGTTGCTCAGATTCCCGCTTATGTATTTTTATTTCTACAGGGTCTCATTTAAAATTTTGTACCAGCAGAATGTTGAAAACATGAAAACAAGAAAGAAATTCTCTTTGGGTCATAATCTGATGGTTTTTCTTAATTTCACAAACCACAGGACTCTTAACATGTAAGACAGGGATGATTCTTGGTTGCTTTATCAAAAGTTGCAAAAGTAAACTCAATATAATCATTCTTTCCTTTGTTCCCTGTCATGCTAATTTTCTATATTACGCTTTTCCCTGTGATGAAAAAATATTGTATATGCTGTGATATTTAAGTCATGAGAAACTTTTGCCTATTTGCAAATTTTAGAAATACTCAGTTCTTTTGTAATCACTTGTTCATTTTATACTTTCTCCCTCTATAAAATTCAAGCTAACATTTGCTAAAAGTGTCAGTTTTGTCCACTTTTCTGTTACCAAAATCTAAAGCCATATCTGACATAAATATTGAGATGAGTAATTTCGAGTAGGTAAGCTTTCCTTAATTTTCTGACAAATATATTTTTCTTTTTTTTTTTTTAAAGTAGAAGGATGAAAACATATTAACAAGCAGACAGCCAATTACAAAGTAGTACAGGAATAGTACAACCAATACTGAATTACAGACAATTAACAATGGTTGTAATACATATTGGTAACTTCAAAGTGGTTACTCAGGAAAACAAATAGAGACATGCAAGATTGATCAAATAATTAATCATTAACTGTTCCTTTCAATAAAGTGATATAAGTCAATAGTATAAGTGTTAGCAATCCTGTATATACATATATACATAATTTTCCCCTTCTTTCTTTTCTCTTATCCCTCGTCACAGTTGCTTTTCACTTTTGAACAGTTTCCTTTGTTTCACAATGTTTATCATACCTCCTAATTTTTATTCACTCTTTCAGGTTCTTACACTAGTAAGACAATATGTTGCTTACACATGCAGGTCTGATTTATTTCACTTATGAGTATGGTCTCGAGTTGTGACTATTTATCTATAAAAGCCTCAAGTTTATCTTTATAGATGAGTAATATTTCATTATATCAAAATGCCACAATTTTTTTATCCAGTCCTCACTGGATGGACTTTTGGGTTGCTTCCATGATTTAGCTATTACAAATTGTGCTGCTATAAACATGGATACACATATATCACTGTGATATGATGTTTTCAGATCTCCTGGGAAAATACCCAGAAGGGGAATAGCTGAATTGAATGCCACCTCTAGACCTAGTTTGCTGAGGAATCTCCAAACTGATTTCCACAGTGGATTTAACAGTCTGCATTTCCAGTAGCAGTGGAGAAGAGTTTCTGTTTCTCCACAGCCTCGCCAGCATTTGTTTTTGGTTGATTTCTTAATGATAGCCATTCTCACTGGAGTAAGATGAAAACTCAATGTTGTTTAATTTGCATTTCTTGAATGACTAATGATGTTGAACATTTTCTCATATATTTATTTACCATTTGTATTTCTTTATCTGAGAAGTATGTATTCATCTCAGCTGCCCATTTTTGGATTGGGTTGTTCTATTTGGGGAGGTTGATGTTTTTTAATTCTTTATATGTTCTAGATAGGAGAACTTTGTCTGAGGGACAGTTAGTTAAAATTTTTTCCCAACTGTGAGTTTTCTTTTTATTCTGCTGATAATTTCTTTAGATGTGCAAAAACATTTCAGTAAGATGAAGTCCCACTTCTTCATTCTTTGAAATATTTCACGTGTGGTTTGGTTTTTGTCCATGAACTCTCTGCCTACTCCTATGTCTTCAAAATTTTTACCTACTTTTTCTTACAATAGATTTAGTGTTTCTGTTTTAATATTGAGATCTGTGATCCATTTTGGCTTGAGTTTGGTGCATGGTGATAGACTTGGTTCTATTTTCAGTCTTTGGCAGGTGGCAAGCCAATTTTTCCAGCACCACTTATTAAAGAGGCCATCTTTCTTCCACTGAGTTTGTTTGACACCTTTGTCAAAGATTAGGTGGCTGAGTGTGTTTTACGTTGTGGCTGTTTCTTCCAGTCTGTTCCATTGAGCCTCAGGTCTGTTTTTTAGCCAGTACCATGTTGACTTTAGTACAGTAGCTTTGTAGTATAGTTTCAGATCAGGGATTTTTTTTTATTTTAAAAAATAAAAGAAGGAAAATATATTAAGAAACAGACATCCATTTACAAAATAGCATAAGAACAATACAATCAAAACAGAGTTACAGACAAAGTTGTAGGAAATTAACCATGATTGTTGCATTACTTATTGAGATCTTCAAAGTGGTTTCTCAGGAAAACAAACAGAGACATACAAGATTGATCAAACAAGTAATCATTAACTGTTCCTTCCAGAAGAGCAATAGAAGTCAGTAGTACCACTATGTTAGCTAGCCTGTATATACATCTTACATAATTTCCCCTTCTTTCCCATATCTTTTCCCACACTCAAGTTGCCCTTTACTTTTGAGCATTTTCCTTTCATTTCACAATGTCTATCATACCTCCTAATTTTTATTCACTCTTTCAGGTCTTACGCTAGTGAAACAATACAATGCTTACACATGCGGATCTGATTTATTTCACTTATGTGTATGGTCTCTAGTTTTACCTATAAAGGCCTTGAGTTTATCTTTCTTTATAGCTCAGTAATATTCCATTATATAAAAGTACCACAATTTCTTTATTCAGTCCTCAGTGGATGGACATTTGGGTTGCTTCCACGATTTAGCAATTACAAATTATGCTACTATGAGGGTGCACATATATTGCTGTGATATAATGTTTTCAGATCTTCTGGGAAAAATACCCAGAAGGGGTATAGCTGGGTTGAATGGGACCTCTAGGCCTAGTCTACTGAGGAATCTCCAAACTGACTTCCACAGTGGCTACACCAGTCTGCATTCCCACCAGCAATCAAGAAGAGTTCCTATTTCTCCACAGCCTGGCCAGCATTTGTTATTGGTTGATTTCTTAATGATTGCCATTCTTAGTGGAGTGAGATGAAATTCAATGTTGTTTAATTTGCATTTCTCGAATGACTAATGTTGAGTATTTTCTCATGTATTTATTTGCCGTTTGTATTTCTTTATGTGAGAAGTGTGTATTCATCTCACCTGCCCATTTTTGGACTGGGTCCTTGAATTGGGGGGTGGGCTAATGTTTTTTAATTCTTTATATGTTCTAGATAGAAGACCTTTGTCCAAGGGACAGTCAGTTAAATTTTTTTCCCAATTTGTGGGTTTTCTTTTTACTCTGCTGGTGATTTCTTTAGATGTACAGAAACTTTTCAGTAGGATGAGATCCTAGCTGTTGTTTCTTTGAATTATTTCATGTGCAGTTTGGTTTTTGTTCATGAACTCTCTGCCTATCAGGTCAGGGATTATGATTCCACCTGACTTGTCTTTGTTGCCCAGGATTGCTTTGCTATTCTGTGTCTCTTCTGGTTCCAAATGAATTTTAGGAATGTTTTCTCTAGATCTGTGAGGTATGCTAATGGTATTTTAATGGGAATTGCACTGAATCTGGGCACCAATTTTCGTAGTATAGTCACTCTCACAATGCTTGTTCTTCCTATTCATGAGCAAGGAGTATTTTTCCATTTACTGAAGTTCTCTTCAATATCTTTTTACAGAGTACTGTAGTTTTCATTGAATAGAACTTTTCCTTCTTTTGTGAAATTGATTCCTAAATATTTCAATTCTTGGATGCTATTGTGAAAGGTATGGTTTCCTTAATTTTGGTCTCAGTCTGTCTATATTTTTCAAATGTTACACTAACCCAGTAAGCTATAATGTTCAACTGGAAAAAAGAAAAGAACCATTCCAAGTTTATGAAACATCCAAAGTATAATAGCAACATATAAAAATTAGAGGATTTTAAAATTCAAAATTTGAATTCATAAT